TGGCTGGAAGCCACAGGCGTGGGTTCAATTCCAGACCTGAAGGGCAGCTAGGGGCCATAATTTCAGTGGTTCCACCAGGCTCTATCAGACCAGCAAACCTGCCCCCCCCCCTTTTTTTTCTCCAAATGATTTTGTGAACTCCAAAAGTTTTAAAAAAGAAATCAAATCCATTTTTCAATTCAGCAGCCCGCATTTCTAATTTAGCTGTTGTTCCCCATGGTTTGCCTCTGTCACACCCAGTTAATGTACCTGTCCAGCACCATGGCTTCGTGGAACACTTTGAATATACAAGGACACACAGTAATAAATGTGGCCTTTTTCCATTAACAGGTCAGAATGTCTCATGTTTTATTTTCACTGATAACTTTAAGAGAAATGACATCAGTAGTCAAGCGAAAGGAAAGAAAGAAATTGTGTTTTTCATTCAGAAGGACTCGTGGACCAAAAATGCATCTTTGGCAGTGAATTCAGAATTTGAGACTATTGACAGTATTTTCCTTTTATGTATAATACCTCATTGAGCATCCAGAAAGTATCACAGGGTTTTGGATTTGGACCACTTTTATGGGATAAAAACTCCTTGGGGTTTTTCCTTCCTTTTCAAAATGAATCCATAGAATTCCCTATTTGACTTTTACAGTGTTCCAAGATAAAAAGAGTTTACACTGAAAAGTAAGCTTTGTAAACCCATGGGTAGTATAAGTTCAGTCTGTGATTATTTCAATCCAGTGACAGTGTGGTGTTTTGGGGACCAAAATTTGAAAACCAGCATTACACAGGTGATACCAGGAGTCTTCATTGGTTGCTCCCTGCACTACCTTAATACAAATGACCCTTGGTGGGATCTCAGTAGTGTTGCTGGGATCACTTCAAGCCACTGATCCAGCAAGTTTCCTCAAAAGCATTCCCCTGAAACAGTTCAGAGAAACAAAGTTGGTATAGTGTAAATACTCCTTGGGCCTGGAAATTTCGTAAGTCAGAGTTAAAACAAGGAATAGTCTAAAGTTTACTGCTGGTACAGCACCTGAAATGTAAATTATCTGGATCAAAGAATCTTTTTTAGGCTCTTGGGGGCTGCTTCTCTAATTGCCATAATGAAGAATGTTTTCAGAACTATATGGTGGCAAATGGAAGTATTTAACAGTGAAAGGTATTTGGAATCCAGATGGGTTATTTGGTTATAGAGCTCTATTTTCTTTTGTTGTTTCTCTACTCTGGAATATGTATAAGGACGTGCCCCACCCCGCCCTCCAAGGAATTAAGATTCATTTGTTTTTGTTTTTAATGTGATTTTATATCTTGTTTGTTACATTTTTTTGAAAAAAACAGAAGTTTCATTTCTTTATTTACTTGATGGCAACCTAATTCTAACTCTGAGGCTCCATACTTTGTGTTTACATTTATTTGGAAATACACCAGGTGTCCAGCTGGCTATAATCTTTATGGAAGCCAATCACCAGGGCTTGATCTTCTGCGGTACCACTGGATGGGTTCAAACAGGAAAACTTGGGGTTACCAGCTGAGCACAGACTGTCTGTGCTACCCAGGGACCTTCCATACTTCTGGATTAAGAAGAAATTCAGCCCCAGTCATTCTGGTTGTTCATTAACTCCTAGGGTTCCAGTTTCTTAATAAGACATTTAGATATGGTGAAGGCCCCAGGGTCATTGTTCACCCTGGCCATCCTGAAGACCATCCTTGCCCAAGCCTATACAGTCTCTTCAAGTGCAAAGTTTTACTGCCTCCAGGCACCAGTGCTTGGGATACTTTCGAGGCTGGAATCCACTATGCCTAGAGTCTGCCCAATAGGCTTCCTTCCTTAGCCATTGCCTGCAGGGTGTTGCAACCTATGTATTTATTAAGGTTGTGCTAGAGAGGGAAAAGGAGCTCTGGTTGCTTAATGGTTAAAGCATTTGGGCATGAACCAAAAGGTCAGTGGTTAGAACCCACCAGCTGCTCCAGAGGAGAAAGATGAGGCAGTCTGTTTCCATAAAGATTATAGCCTTGGAACCCCTGTGGGGACGGTTCTGTTCCATCCGACAGGGTCACTATGAATTGGAATCAACTCGATGGCCCTGGGCTTGGTTTTTTGTTTTTGTTTTTCTTTTTTTTTTTTTGAGAGAGAGGGAGAGGAGTTCCTAGGTGATGTATAGGGTTAAATGCTGAACTATTAACCAAAAGGTGGATAGTTTGAACCAGAGGCACTTTGGAAGGATGATGTAGCAATCTGCTTCTGAAATGTCCAGCTTTGAAAACCCTATGAAGGGCAAGGTTGTAGTCACTGCTTGGTCACAGCCAGCTACCAAGAGGGACCTAATAGTTGAACCTGTGGGCTCAGGACCATAGTTGCAGGGGACATCAAGCTCAATTGGCGTAACATAGTACACAAAACATTGTTCCACCTCCTACTTTAGCGAGTAGCAACTGGGACCTTAAAAGCTTGCAAGTTGCCATCTAGATGCAACGATGGGTCTCTCCTTGTCCAGAGCAAAGAAGAATGAAGAAAACCAAAAAATCATGGAAACAATTAGGCCTAGTGACTAGTACACCATCTGATCTGCAGCCTATATGACTTTGAGACCAGAAGAAATAGATGGTGCCCGGCTACCACTGTCAACCACTTGGAAGGGGATCTATGTAGGAGATCCTGGATAGAGAGGGAGAACAATGTTGACAAAACTCAAAATCAATTGGAGAAAAAAAAAGTGGGGGGGATCAGGTTTGCTGGTCTGATAGAGCCTGGTGGAACCACTGAGACTATGGCCCATAGCTGCCCTTCAGGTCTGGAATTGAACCCACACCTGTGGCTTCCAGCCAACAATAGACAGGTATATGAGTTGAACATTTCCCTGAGGTAGATACACTCCTTGGAGAGAACAATCATGGGAGAAAGAAGGGCTGCTTATACACAGGGAGACAGCTCAGGGGGCAGAAGTGCATGGAGGGCTGGACACAGGGAAGAGGTAACTATAGGAAGGAAGTGGGAGGGGAGCTGTTGCATTGTGGTAAATTATGGTCAATGTCATGAGACAAAATGTATGTGAACTGCTATACGGAAAGTGAATTTGCTCTGTAAATTTTCACCCAAATCACAATTTAAAAAAAAGAAAAGGAAAACCCTATGAAACTGTTTACTCTGAAAAACATGGGCCTACCATGGAGTGGAATCAATTTAACAGAAACTGGTGTGTGTGTGTGTGTGTATTTATTTGGTCTGTGGAAGGAGGCAGCTGGCTAGTGTAGGGCTGAAATTTTCCCCTCCGTGGGACCCACAGTATCAGTCTCCACTCAAAAATTCTTATCCTCTCTCAGAAGCCCTGCAGGACACCTAGCATAATCCATTCAGCATAATTCTTTCAGTGTCTTTCAGTTTCATAAAAAACAGAAGAACCATTGACTTTTGGTTGTTTCAGTTTCCAGCTTTACAAAAATCCCCAAAGCAAGCAATTTCAAAGCTTGACTACCTCCTCAACATGAGAGAGAAGAGGGAAAATATAGTTGTTGTTGTTGTTGTTAAGTGCCATCGAGTCGTTTCCGACTCATAGCGACACCATGCACAGCAGAACGAAACACTGCCCGATCCCGTGCCAGCCCCACAATCCCTGCTATACTTAAGCTCATCATTGCAGCCACCATATCAATC